AAATATGACTAAGAAGGAGATACTGGAGTTTTAATTGTACTAGGAACATACCCCAGTCAAGGCGTCTTTAAATAGAAAACGTATTAGAGAAAGTGTTAATTGGCTGAAACGTAAAGTAATTATATAGCTTCGGTTTTGAAGAGCAATGAAATTTTATTTATAGATAAGCCTGTGAAGTTGACGCGGGTGGTCATACGTGAAATTAACTTTCCAAAAGAACACACAGCGCAGACGGCAATATTCAAAAACTGTCATAGATTATTGGTTTGGACGGCTATTAAGATTGGAGAGAGTCGAAATCAGCGATCGTCTGTGCAAAATATTAAAAGTAAGATGCTCTTTGAGATCCTACAGGATGCCTTCGGTTATAATGGCAACTATAGGCGCGGAATGGATACTATAATTTTAGAAGATTATGCTACCGTTTACGGTCGGAAAAAAGGTATGAATCTGATAACGTGTACAACTGCAATCAAACTCTTTAAACAACAGGCAGTATCTCTGCGTGTAGCCTCCAATCTATTTTTATTCCTGCCAACAGCCCGGAACTCAATTCTATAGAAATCGCTTTTTTTAATTATCAAAAGCAACTGACACAAGGCAAAGAAGAACCTTTCCATCCAAGCAAAACCTAATTTTCTGCTGAAAAATCACATTTAACAACCCAGCTATCTCCATGTCTGATAGACTTATTGCTGTTTTAAGTGTACACAGACAGTCCACAACGTACTGATATTTTGTATATTTAATTATTCTGCATTAATCGACCGTTTTTGCGCTTTCCAGCCTTAAAACTTCCATATTAAACGTTAAATCTGTGACCAGTAATGTAGCCATTATCTGGAATTCGAGCTTTTATTGAAAATTAATTACGTTTGTGTTAGTAAATAGTAACTTACTGGCTTTACTGCTGTAAGACGTGGGGGACGTAGCATGGGCTGCGTTCGCGTAAGGGGGATTTTCCTACCTATCTCCTGAGATAGGCAATGTACCGCATAAGTAGACAAATCTGCTGGAACGTATGGTATGAAAATTGTATGTTTACGATTCCAACTGACAATTCTATTTAAATGTATTAGTCATGGAGCGGCTTGCAAACGTGTACCCTTACGAATAATCTTATTCCTGCGACGCTCCTGTAGATGATTAAAAGCGAAAACCTGTTTGCCCTAAACAACACATCTCAAACAATACAGGAAGCGAAAATAAATACAGCCAATTAACGTGAAACCGTGTCGGTTACCTTATAAAAACTCTAGGCTGTTTTCTAAAGACCATAAATTATATTACGCTTATTCCTGAAGGATATTTAAGTGGCGACTTCACTAAAGGGCAATTTTCAAAGGTTTTTTTTATTTGTGTTGATTTAGGTATCCGGCTTCATGACAAGCTTTCTGTAGAATCAAAACTTAAGTTTACGCAGTAACAGCAATTTATTTCCGCTTTTCAGAATTTTTCTGCTTTTCGAGAAAAGTGCGCATTTCTACAAATATCTGCCACACTTTTTATGTTTTCAATTGGCTTAAAGTTCTTCGTTATTATTTCAAAGTTCCAGGTCCATTTGCTGGTGTCGGTTTGTGGGGGTGTAGCAAGCTTTGATAAATGTCGACATCTTCCATGAGATAAGCCACGGCAGCTGACAGTGACAGTCAGAGCAGATATCTTTTGCATCCAGAGATGACTAATCCGATAGGTGCGATAGGGCTGATTATAGAACAGCGCATAACTCAGTGATGTATATTCAGGCTGGCCGCTGATTTGTCCGTCGAAGAAGAGAGGGTAAAGCTCGCTCCTGTACGCATGCCAACTTCAGATAATATTCGTTTCGTTCAGTCATCACAGAGATCGCTTTTGATCAACCCTGTAGAATTCAAAATTGGCAATCTTCGAGGAATCAAGCTAGTCATCATCCGCCAGGTAGGTGCCGCTGACTGGAGCCTCGGCCTGTGATTTGGGACTGTTGCAGAACAGATGATGGTTTAAGCGAAGCCTGCCTGAGTCTGGGAGCTATTTTTAAACACAGAGGCTGTTGATAGCATTACTGCACGACATTGTGCACTTATTTCAGCGCAGTCGACGGACTACTCTTGTGATTATGCTGAGTCACTGATATGCAGTGA